GTCCTGAATTATCAGAGTTCCCTAAAAACCATCTAACATTTTTTTTGTTCTTCTATAACAATTACCCTTGCATTCTTTTCTAATCTTAAGTACTATATATTATTGAATAAATTCCCCTTAAAGGATAGTTATTTTCTGCTGTAGCAGAATATTTTGTTCTATAGCACCAATTACATACCATATTATAAGTTTATAGGAAGACAAGCATGATAGGGCTATGAATTTACATGAAGAAAAAAATAGTAATATTTCCACAGCTTTAAAAAGAGTGGGGGATGATGAGAATCTCAGGAAGGAGACCAATGACATTAGCAAGAGGGTATGCTAAAAGGCTAACATAAAAATTGCTTTTTTCATAGTATTGGCCAATATCTTCATTGGGCTTTTCGTCACAACACCAAGAGATGTTTTCTGGTCAATCCCTTACTCATACATTAGTGAATAAGAAAATGTAAGATTAGTGACTGCTACAAGAATAATTTTATGTGATTGTGCCTGTGCCATTTTGATACCCATTCCCCCTATTTTGATTATCTAAATTGGAGTTTCTTTTGAAGTTCTTTGCAATCTTTTACTTTCCTTCTGCTTTTCAAAACAAACATTGTCAGCCATACTGCATTTTGCTTCCCTGAGACATAATCTAGAATAAGAGCCCCAAAATTCTTGGCCTGGTTGGACATTTGGAATTTTGAGGAGTGTTGGGGACAGTAGATTTAAAGAGTTATGTTCAGATTTGGCATATTCAACTGAACATACTAAACAGAGTAAGTCACTTTGCATACAGCAGTGGAACCTCTGTATAATATACTTACTGTATAGAATTCTGCTATAAAGGTGTAATTCTGGACACAAGAATTGCTTGCTTGCTTGCTTCTTTGTTTGTTTATTTCTGAGTAGGCATGCCTCACCAAGCGGCAGTAACTGACTGATGTTGCCTGGGCTTGGAAGCTAAAGTGGATCAGACTTGGTTAGGAAGCATCAGCATTGTAGGCTAGACTGGGAAGTGACAAACATGCTGGAAGAAAGCAATATGAAACCATTTCTATATTGTTGCTAAGAAAACCTATATGGATATTTGCATTTGGTCACTAAGAATCAAACAATTTGGAGTCTTTTTCTTTGCCTTAGAAATATACAGGATGGCAATACCATGATTGGGAAATTTTTATTTAATTCTTCTTCTCATACGCAGCTTATACATGGAAAATTGGAATCCTCATAGGGACTAATCTAGTGCTTTTTTCCTTGATCTGTTAGTTTTCTGTGGGTACAATAATTGTTTCTCCCATCAGTAAAGTGTTGGAATCCAAGGAAGATACCACATCAATTCACTGTTGCTTCTCTCTTGATTTGTAGTGAGTCGGATGGTAACCCCAGCACAGAAGATGAATCCAGCAAGGGGCAAGAGGACTTGTCTCCACGTTCCCTAGCAAGCACCTCCGATGGCGGCACCAGCTTAAGCCTTCCTAGCCCAATGGAGCAAGTATATATGCAGCAACTTGGAAACTCCAAAATATCCTTAAGCTCTTCAGGAGTTTTACTGAATGGAAACCTAATGCCTCCCAATCCATCTGTTTTTCTTAATGGTACTTCTTTCATTCAGGGCCCCAATGGTCTCCTCCTCAATGGTCTCAGTATGGGAACTTCTCAGGCAGTATCATCAAGTCCACTCAAAACATCGCCCAATGCTTTGAGCAATGGAGTCTCTATGGGTGACATGTTAGTCCCTTCTGCAGAAGATGTGAAAGACTTCAAAATCCTCCAGACTTCTCTGTCCAATTCTATTGCATCATCAACACCCACAACAACATACAGCCCCAACTCTGGGCCTGCCTCTTTCCCAGGCTTGACACCAAGCATGGAAGTAAAGAGGGAAGAAAGCGAAGAAGCAATAGCATCGCAAGACAGTGGCTCAGTAGTCACTTTTACCACTCCAATTCAAATCAACCAATATGGCGTTGTCCAAATCCCTAATTCAGCAAACAGTGGCCAGTTACTTAATGGAGGCCTCAGTTTTTCCCCAGTGCAGCTTCCCCCAGTATCGGCAGCAACTTCCCGAGGTAAAAACCCTTCACTGTATTAAATTATTGCTTTTTTGTTGTGAAATTAAGAATGTTGAAGATATGTAACATGCTCCTTGTGTACAAAAGGAGCCTTTCCATGAACAGAAGACACTTTGACCTGGTGAAGACTTGTACTGATGGGAAAACACCCAAATCCAGCAAAACAGGTTTTTAGATGGATACTGATGGAGAGTCAATGAAAATTCAAACTTTTTCCCATATCAGCAGGCTTCAGCAAATTATGATGTACACTATTTTTCATTTGACTGTTTTGGCTGTAGGACTAGCTTTGTCTTTGAGTAGAGGGAGTCATATAGATTAAAGTTCAGCCCTACTTAGCCTGCTGCTCTTAAGTGTGGCAGAAGATACTGTCCAAGAGAGTAAATCTTTGGTTTAACAGATTTCATTTTTACACTGCGTGTAGTTTCCATTTGGATGCCTTATCAAAATAACAAAGCCCATTGTATTCAACGTAATTTGAGTGATTCCTCTCAATGTTTATCATTTGCATTAACTTATATAATGCACATCATTATTACCCAGGACATTAATTCATGCAAATGATATAAAGCCAGGTTTAAGGTGATTCTCTTTCTCCTACAAACCTTCATTAATA